TGATTTACGCATAATTTAAGATTTCGAAAAACCTTTGAAAATGCCTATTATTCTTTTAATTTATCTTTTATGCTATTGAAATACACTGACAAATTTATACGAATATTGTGTACAAAATGTTATATTTATTAAGTTTAAAGTAATTTTAATTCATTTTTAGTAAAAGTTTAGATAATTTGTATTCATAATCGTGCTTTTAAAACTACGTAATATTATATTAACTTTTATTCTATGTCAATGATTTTTTAATATTTCTGAGTTTCTTATAGTATACTTTTGATAAAGTTAATTTAATGATTTAAAATAATAGATAATAAAAATTCGAATTTTCAAATTAATTATTTTTCTCTCTAAAAATGTACCATTATTTATCATAAATAGGCTTAAGGACTTATAGCTCTAAAAAATACACAAATATGCATGCAAATATGCTTCTAAAATCATTAAAATATGCATTATAATATGCATTTATATGCATTAAAAAAAAAAAAAGACCACATAGTACACAAAATAAAACGTGTCCATCGGATGTGAATGTATCTTTAAACTCCGAAACAAAACTTTGTAGTCGGCTACTCATTGACTGTTGTACTTTCGACATCACACAATGTTACAAAATACGTACGACGTTTTATGTATGATTCGACGTTGCGTGGTTGTGAGACGCAAAAATAACGTCGGATAATAATCGACTGAAATGAATACTAAAAAAATAATCTATTATTCTATATCAACTATTATCTTTATCGACATCCGGTTGATATCCAGATACGATCGATAGGGGTTTATAGTATTATTTATACTTACACAAAAATTATAACGAGATATGTGAGGTAGTTTGACGATAACATATTACTGGAAGTATATAAGTATATAAGTAAATTTTTTTTTCGATCATTTGAAATATGTATATATAGTTATATGTATCTATAGTTTTTAATTTTAAATTTAAAAAAATTGTCAAAATTTGCAAAATAAGCATAACAACTTTAAAATATGCACTCTCCTGCAAAATTTATCAAATATGCAAAAATATGCACATTCAAATTTTAGATCTGTTATCATGGCATCGAGAAACGAATTTATTTCGCACTCTGCTACATCTAACAATAATTAAAAAAAGTATGCAAATGTTAGAAGTCCCTAAGCCTAATCATAAGTAACATAATTAATATTAGATATTACAATAATAATCTACATAATAAACACAGTTGAAAATATGACCAAATACCTATAACCTTTAATATGATTTATTTTATGATTAGATAATATTGAATTAATTATACTTGAATGAACTATATTTCACCTCGAAAAAAGGGATAAGACCTCGATAAGGGCCTCGAAAAAATATAGACCATAGACATTTTTTTTATATTGAGTACATTTAAAATCTGTACATTTGAATACTATGTCGACGGCCAGATTAGAACCAGCACCGGTTAAATATAATTCGGTCGGTATTTGCCAAATTATTCGACCGTTTATCGGGGATAAAATTTGGTCAGTAGAAATGGTCAGGCTATATTCGGATTTTGGTTGAATTCACCAAAATTATACAGTATGTTATACACACATGCATTTCTATATAATTTAATTTTGATTTGACGTTCCATAAAAACTAAATTTAATGTAAACTAAATTTATTAATTTTTCACACTCAACCATGTTATAAATAATATTATTTAGGCGAATGACGAAAGAAAAATTAAAAATAGACTGTTAGTGTATCATGTTATGAAAATTAAATTAAATTCAATAAATGTTATTTTTTTTTATATTTTATCGTTTTTATTTTGTAATAATAACATAGGTACATTGGTATGATGTAAATAAAGTTACTACAAAAAATATTATTATAAATATTATATAAATTCAGCTAGAAAAACATTTTTTTTTTTTTAATTTATAAATGTTATTGACACTATACTTTTTCTGTGTACATTTATTATTTGGGTTTAATTCTTTCTAATCATTTTTATAATAATTTACGTCGGTTCAAAATAATTTTCTAAGTACATTTTTGTCACATAAAATAAATTATTTTTTTTTTTAAATAAATTGACATACATTTTTTAAACGGTTACATATAAAAATGTACATTTAATTAAAAAATCCACTCATTAATTTATCAACGTACAATCAAAACAACTATATTGATATACATGACATTTTGGGGGCTTGTGTTTATTATTATGTGGAAATATAACGTACTAGGGCAATAATTAAAGTTTTTTTGAAAATCGCATTTTAAAGTTTACGAGTATCAATTATTTCTTAAAAAATAACATAAAACTCTTATAAAATAATAAGATAATATACCTATATGTTTATGTTTCCATTAGTGCTCTGCATGGTCCAGTCTAGTACAGTCCTAACATACAAAAACTTTTGAATCGTCGGTTTGGTCCGGTTCAACAATTTTTAGGAGTAGTTCGGTCCAGTCCTCAGATCAAATGCATTATTTTCAATCAGGTCTGGTCCCAATCATGGTACTTAAAATCTAAATACAGATATTTTTATGTAAACAAATAAAACGAAAAAAAAACCTACAGCTTTAGGTATATATTTATTTATAAAGTCGGGTAGTCCAGTCCAGTGTAATACTTAACGCATCATATGGTATGGTCTGGGCTAATACAGACTGAACCTTACGGACCGGTCCATAAACGGTCCAAAATGTTTTAAGCTTGGACCGACAGTCCGGTTCACGGTCTACTTTATTAAATTTTATTTAATTACTGGTCCGGTCTAAAAATTATATGAAGTCGTCGGTTCGATACAATTTTGGTCTTTGATTAACGTTTAAATGTGGTCCGGTCCGACTTTGGTCCCCTGGTAAAATTTGAAGTCCAGCTTGGTCCTTTAAATAACGGGCCGTGCAGAGCACTAGTTTCCATACATTCATAAAATATGAATAATTATACTTATTTTATAATTGATTTTATATATTTATTATCTCGATTTTAAAATTTTGTTGGATTACATTCGAAAAGTTAGTTTCACTGTTTCATGATATTAAATTAATTCGAAGTAAACTTTTTAATACAAGCAAAAAATAATGGCGATTCAGTTATTATGAATAGCAAATGAGTAATTAAATTGCACTTATAATTATTTTCTGGGCAGTCAAATTGTTTTTCTACCTATTCATTTCGCAGAATCAAATCACCATTATTTTTTCAGCATCATTTATCTTAAATGACTTGCATGATCTACAGTTAATAGTTCATACATACTTTTTATATTAATATTTTATTGGATAAATTCATTAAGTGTTATTGTAATTCGTACGTATGCTTACGCATTTTAGAGTAATTTGGTGAATTTGAATATCTGGAAACGAGTATAAAAAAAAATAACGCAACAAAACTTTGTATTAAATAAGTATATGTAATAATACATTTTAATACCTAATGTATTAAATATATTTTTAAACGCACAGCATTTTGTGACCTTGACCATGCGTACAATTTAACTAAATACATTTTATACGGTCCATTGGATTCTATGTTAACCTAACTGAGCAATAAATTACAAAATATTATGAAATATAAATAATAATTATAGGTATGGACCTTCTATTACACACATTTTAAATACTATAAAAGATAACATTAAATAAAATATTAACAGTTAAAATACAATCAAACATATCACTAAGGAAACTACACTAATGGCCACACATTAAAGCTCCATAAGGCAAAATATTTTTCTTTACCTTCAATAGAAATTGAATTTTTTATAGGTTTTTATTTTTATTATTATTATTATTATAATTATTTTTTTTTTTTTTTAAATGAAGCCAACTCCATTTCGTCAAATAATTCATTCTGTTATAAATTTAATTAATTTACATTTAAATCAAATACTTAGCAAAGAACATATTTTAGTGTTGACTGCAAAATGTTTTGAAAAAGTACACTTTTATTAATACCTTGTTATGTCGTAAAATAGATTTACTTGAAACTCTTTAAAACTTTAAAAACTTTAAATTCATGCCAATATTTTTATTTTAAAATTATGATAACATGAGGGGAGAGGACCAATAATTCTAATATTGAAGCTATAACTATAACTCCTGTCTATTACATAGATAGTCATAATATTTACATACAAATATTTTTAATACCATTGTCATAGATTTACACAACTTAAGTTCTTGAATCATTAATCTGAATAATTCATTATTCAATCCATAATTTAATTACCTATTTAAAAACTAATTTAATATTAAATCAATTTTCTTATGACTTCATTTGTTTAATTGAAAATGTAACAATAGTAAATGGAAAAAAGAAAATCAAATACAAAATACAAAATAGCTAACTACCTTAATTTAATTAAAATAAAATGTAATGTGAACCATTGTGATTTTCCATTATTTATTTAATTTTTTTTTAAAAATCATGGATAGAGTTAGTTGATAAATAGATTTATTACAAAAATAATAATTAAAAAGTAATTGATTTAATAAAATAATAACTAATAATAAAAACTGCACAGCATTTTCCTATATGTTTATGAAAATCGATTAATTAATATGAAATTGATGAAATCTTATTTTTACGTTTTACATAAAATTATATGGTTAACATAATATAATATTTTGATTGACTAAATAATCAATTATGCTCACTGTTCATATTTATTTATCTAAATAATTATTAGTAATTACAATTATATTTCTTTGTAAATTATGACATTTTAATTTTCAAAAATGATATTATACTAGTAGACATTATACAAAAATATTATAAATATCCACGACTTTAACAAAATTTTAAAGTGATTTAATTTTACATTTTTGCTCTTATATGAGCAACAACGAGACAATACTTTTATTTTTTATCACTATATAGCAAATTCATTTTCATTGAGTATTTTCTGTAATCGGTCTTAATGGACGGACTATTAAATTGAAAACTCGTGTTAAACGGTCTTAAGGACAGATTTTTATCAACTCTTCGGTCTTCCAAATAATTGACTGTCCTACCCATGGGGATAATTAGTGGTTGTCAGCACACTATAAAAAGGCAACTCTACAACCCCATAAGCACACTAAGTAATCTGACTTTGAAGACGCCATAACTACAGCAACAGAAGTATCTGTAAGTTGGTTTTTTTTCTTAGAAGTTTTTAATATTTTTAAGTTTTTAGTAGAAATATTTAGAGTAATTTAATATAAAAATATGTGTATAATTTTTATATTATAAATATTCAATATTGTAATATTTTTATATAATATATTATATTACTCGTATGTCACATTCTTATACTTGTGCATTATTCGTCTTAATTGTAGATTGTAATTTAATTTATTTAAACATTAATACATTTTCGTGAATTTTAAGAAATTAACTTAATAAATATAATATTTATTTTTTAGATAAAGTTAATTTTATTATTTTATCACGTACCGCTAATTTCATGAATATTCATTTAACTAATCGTTATAAACTATAATTAAATATATAAAAGTATTCTTTAAAATGACGATTAGTTCAATTCTTAATCCGTTTTATATATTTTTTCTTTATACCTACTTAAGATGATTTTTATTTGAATATCTTGTACCCGTTTTTTATTTTACTAGTTTACTGCCATATAAAAACATAAATTATGATTTATATTGTTAATCTTAAAAATATGCACACTATATACTAATATAATCTCAACATTTAAACAATACTAACAATAATAATTTATATATACATATCTAAATTTACTATTTAAAAAAAAAAACAACATGCATATTTTTATTTAATGTTGTACAACTGTGTTTTAATAATATTATGTTTCAAGTTTCAAAATCTTCAATATTTTCTACAATCATGAGATTCTACGTTGTGTTCGGTGTCTTGGCAGTTTTGGCTTTACACGCCCTCGCTGATGAGTCCAAAGAAAACGCTCCTGCAACAGCCGTCGCAGCAAACGACCGATCGTCGATTGTTTCGAAATTGAGTGCTGCACATGAGAATAGTAAGTACCAATGAATTTTTTTTTAAACCATTATGCCTATAAAGTAATTGGGATTCAAGGAGTTTTCATATTTTACAGTTTAAAATTTTTAAGATATTTGTTTAGATATTTCGGTTTATTTATAGTATATTATATTTACGCAAATTATTTTATCGATAGATGTGAAATAGTGATTTTATTTATTAATCATTGTTAATAAAAAATGTAAATTATTGATAGTATTTTTAATTTCTGTTATGTGAATTATAAAATTTTAGTTAGTTATTACTCAGCCACTATTATTTATAAAATTTCTCCATTTTCATTTTTATATATTTTAAAAATGTTCTTGTAAAACTTCTATATTTTTTGTGCACACTATTAGATTCGTAGTGCATTCATGATGGATATAAAAATAGAGCCCATCATTAATATTATAAAAATAATTGTGTAAAAATATAACTGTAACAATGATTACTTATTTAACACGTTCTTATAATATTTTGTTTACAAGAAAAAAAAAATGGTTTCACATTTTTCGTTAAATTTTTCACGGTAAAGTAACTGTCGTTTAATAATATTTTTAAAATCATTTTTAACGCATAAATATATATATTTAAATTGAGTATTTAAGGTTTTTAGAACATACATTTTGCATTGTAAAATTATTTTTGTAACATCTCAGCTATTTTCTCTACACTAGATTCGTACTTCAATTTACATAATAATTTAAACTGACTATGTAATATATTTATGAAAAACACTGCTATACTTCTTTCCTCGTGCAATTTTTTTTTTTTTTTTAATAATAATAAAATGAGTAATCGAGTACAACCCCGACTAAGGTACTTTTTAATGGCGAATTGCTTTCAGATGATCAATGGTCCTTGATTCCAAACAGTTACGGTACAGCTTTAGCTGCTGGCGGAGTGGTTATAGTCGGAGCCGTGGCCCTCTTAGCAATTGCAGCCGTCATCAGCCCATGGTTCGGCTACAGACTCTGTCACATATTCAGTACCTGCGAAGTGCCTCCCAGTACCCCGGGAGACAATTTCTCGGGTTTTTCTTCGAACATGTATCCGCAATATAGAAAGAGGTAAAAAAAAAAAAAAACGCACGTCTGAAATACGTACCAACAAATTTATGTTAGGACTAATGATAAAAAAATGTTATCTAGTACGTCCCGATGTTAATTAATCATGTCGCAACATATATTTTTAGATCCATTGAGTACGTTGGACCCATCTTGCAAGCTTTGAATTCGGCCTACGAAAAGTACGGGCAAGGAGCAAGTCCAATGCATTCGAACACGAAGAAAATCAACACTCAATAACCGGCTGGACTGAAATGAAAATTAATTTAATAAATATCATCTTTCTCCGATCATCCATTTGTGTTTTTAATTATTTATTTTTTTTTAAATTTATGTCGACGCTTTAAATCACATTGTAGTATTGTGTTCATACATTGATCACTAACTGGAAATTGTTTTTGCCAGTATCATTAAAAAAAAAAAAAATTTATACATAATAATAATAATATATATAAATAAAACAAATAGTTAAACAAACATTTATGACTTAAAACAATTATTTATGACTGAAAACAATGATCTTAATCCTAATAGACACTATATAGTTATTATGAACAAAAAAAATTAAGAACGAATACATTTGCTTAAGGTATAAATGGTAAATAAGTATCGGGGAACGAGACGAGAATGTTTTTATAGCGTTATTTACAACAACAGCGAATAATAAAAAAATTATAACCGTCCTTAATATTATAATCATCATGTCGTCAGTTTCGACCGTCTAGCTAGTAAAATCATCTTTTCCTTTTCCTCTTCCTTTTGGTCGATGCTCATCTGGGAGCTAATACTGTGTACCAGAGCGGTGTTTTGTATCCTGCTGTTGCTCATCGTCCGGTTCAGGGTCGGCAACCGTTTGTGCATCTCTTTCTCTACCCACCGCAACATGGTCAGGACCGCGTCCGGCCCGGAGAGTCGGAAATCCGCAGCCGTCTGCACCATGGGCGACGGGTCCACGCGGAACGTGCACGCGATACCCTGCAGGGCCAACATGGCATCCTCGTTACCCGCGTAGATGACGCGCACACGCTCGGACCAGTCGACGCCGTACGTAGTGCGCAGTATATATATGGACGCCCGGCCCTGGTCCCATGTGATCGGCGGCTTGCCCTCAATTGCTAAGAATCCCTGGTGAGGCTCGAACCCGGCGTTCTTGAATATCTCAATGGCCCTTCGTTCCAGGTGTTCCCGCTTGGCCGGCGGCGCCTCACGGTAATGGTACGTCAGCATCACACCCTTGTTTTCCACCCACGCACCTTCCTTGCACACCTCCTCCACCAACAGCTTCTGCAGCCCCGCGATCTTCTGCTCGTACTGCCTGGGCACCGGATGCACAAAGTTCGTGCCGTCCGGGTGCAGGATCTCGATGCCGTGGCTACCCGCGTACGTGATGTTCTCGATGCCCACCATTGACTTGACGTTGTCCAACGTCCGGCCGGATATTATGGCGATATTGATGTCCGGCATCCGGGTGAGCCTCTGAAGCACCTTGATCGTCTCCTCGGACATGATGGCCAGGTCCGGATGCGACGTGAGGTGCGTGAGCGTGCCGTCGTAGTCCAGTATTAGGCTCAGCTTGCCCGCGCCAGCGATGTGATTGCTCAGGTACATATCGAAGTCGTCCAGCCGCAGTTGCATGGTTTTCGGCGGCCCTTCGTCCTCGTCCTTCAAGGCGCCCATCGATGAGAAGAACGATGTCATCCAATAGTTAACGTCCAACAGCTGCTCGCGGTGCCGCAGCTGGGTCATGCGCAGTTCGCGTTCGTCCAGCGGCATTTTCAGTGCCCGGTTGAGCACGTTGGCCATCTCGTCCAGCTCGTACGGGTTGACCAGCAACGCCTCGTGCATTGTGCCCCCGGCCCCGGCGAACGGCGATAGGATCAACACGCCCGGCGTCCTGATCTGGCACGCGACAAATTCCTTGGCCACCAGGTTCATGCCGTCCCTGAGTGGAGTGACCAACGCTACGGCGCAGTCCCTATACAACGCCGCCAATTGTTCTTGGCTTAGGCACCCGTAAATGTACCGGATGGGCGACCAGTTGGGCTTGGAAAAACGGCCGTTGATGCGTCCAATGAGCAGTTCTGTTTCGTCCTTGAGCTGCTTGTACTCCTTGACGTCCGTCCTGGATGGCACGGAGATTTGGAGCAGTACGACTTTTTCATGGAAATCTGGATACTTTTCGAGAAACTTTTCGAACGCGAGAATCCGATGTACGAGCCCTGCAGGCAGAAACACAAATATTAATGTCGATAAAAATGTATGTACATTTTATTATTAAAAGAAATAAATAAATAATAACGGACAGGTCATGACTTTACCTTTAGTGTAATCCAATCTGTCTACACCGAGTATGACTTTCACGTCGTCTGGCATGTTCAAAAAAGTCGGCGCTTTTTCTGACAACTGCACAAAACGTTCGAACGGTATACCGATGGGAAGAGCTTTCACTTGTATGGTACGTCCAGCAAGTTCGACCAACATGTTTGTTCGGTCGACTCGGCAACCGAGCCTCCGGCAACAACAATCAATGAAATTCAAACAGTAATCCTCGATGTGAAAAGCGGCGAAATCGTATGCTGTAATGTTTTACAAACACAATCATAAATTAACGATATTATGTAAATGTGATTCACGCATATATATATATATATATATATATATATATATATATATATATACAGTGGCGTATCCAGGATTAATTTAACGGGGGTGTATTAAAATTGAATAGACTTATGGTAAGTGAGGGGCTCCCCCTATGTATTACATTTATAAATACCATGTATTTATATAACTTATTATATTAATGAAAGTGATTATATTTAAACAGTATATGTAAAATCTACAAGTTGTATACAACTTGTAGATTTTACATGTACGAACGTTTATTCAAATTATACTGTAAGTAAATTTGCAATTTGGTGAAATACCATAAAATACGGTCGATGGGGGGAGGTGTTCTAAACTCATATCACGCCTCCCCCTAAGTACGTCCCTGTATATATATGTATATTCCATACACGGGGACGGATCCACCATCTATTTACAGTCGTGGCACTTTGTAGGAGAAATTACATAAAATATCTGATCGTACATTGGGGTGTCTTGGGAAGGGGAGGGCTTAGACCCCTCTCGAAAATAATGCGACAATATCGTACTGATACTGTCAACATTTATTTTTATTATTTATTAATTTTACTATAATTATAATTCATTTTAAATATTATTTTTTCCAATGGCACTTGCCCCCAGTGCCTCCCCCCAGGATCTGCCCATGGTTGTATAGGTATATCATCGGTCGAATTATTATATCTGTAAGTATTTCTCGCGCTCACCCAACATCCCCTGGAGAACTTGATCGTCCCACGGCAAAAGTCTCATGATATCCCACGACGGAAACGGTATATGCAAGAAAAATCCGAGTTTACACCTGAGGTTTTCCTCTTCGCACACTTGTCGTATTTTGGTGGCAGTCGTCAGCAATTGATAGTCGTGAATCCATACAAGTGGAACCGTGTCGTGATTCCCTGCTTCGTCTAATGTTTTAATAACATTTCGTAGGGCGTCCAGCGTACAATCCGCGAACTTGTCGTTTACTCTACAATACGTCTGTAATCGCGGAACACGAACAATTTAATCCCGTTCACGTAGGCACGTTTAATTATTTATTACCTTCCAGTCCTTGGACACAAAATTAGCGCGATCGGGCATCGAGTGGAATAATGGCCAAAACGTTCCATTACAGCAACCGTTGTAAAACTCTTCAAATTCGGATTTATCGATGTGCACCGGAATAATCTGCGATCATAAACAAAGTATATCGTAAGTGTAAATGTTATACGATTAACAAATGCTAAATTGACAAATAATGTAAACTTTTACGTATAGGTGTGTATACAAGCGAATCAATATCACGAAATAAAAATGAAATAAATAATAAATATTAAACATTTATATCACGTTTGATTATACGCTAAAAGCAAATAATAGGTGAGGTAATCTATTTATTTATTTACACCCCGGTGGCAATAGTATAGAATTAAATTACAAACATTACAATTAACTATACCAATTTATAATAAAAGTTATCCTTTCACATATTATCGAAAAAAATTACGAGTTCGTGCTATTTTACTCTGTTAATTATATCCAATTAACCGAATAAAGTTTTATAAATAAAATATTTAATAACATTTTTAAAAATATATATATATATATATATTTACTTGATTAGATTTTAGTCCAGCAGTCGGAGCTTTGTCTTCGGGATCGGATTCTGGGATTGGGTCACCTGGTTTTAAATCGAACGAACCGGACCATCCAATCCACGTGCCTTTACATTCGACAACAACTGGTGCGACGGCTGTTACAAGACCTCCAGCACTGTTTTCATTAACATCAAATAGGTTAGGTTAGGTTAAATTAAATTGATTACTTATGACTAATTTCTACTTATAATTGGTAACATAAATGTACCTAGTTTAAAATATACAAACATAGAAAAGGTAATAATTTATCAGTATCTAGTTTCTTATAAGTGTTCCAATTTATAATATCATAATTGATATTATAATTGATGAGGTATTTTATAGAACTCTAATTCGATAATCAGAATATAAATATTCAAAGATAATTTATTATTGGCTTAACTTTTTACTATAACTTTTGATATATTTAAAAATGATTTTACTTTAGATTTCAAAAAATCAAATAATAAATGTACTATATTACCCTTTAATAAAATTAAAACCTTAAACTATAATAAAATTACTATTAATATTTTTTTCTTGGAGAAATGTTGTGTATACTTAAGTTTGAATTGATTTTTATTTTAATTGAAATAGAAAACAAATTATTTTACGTCGAAAACATACTTTGTATAATTTATTCTAATGTCCAACAAATATTTATTTTGAATTCGACGTATATTTTAAATTATTATAATGAAGCATAAACATTACTAACATATATCACTGAAGTATTTTAGTTTATATTTATGAACGTACGTCTTAAAATGTAAGGCATAATTAAACTAATTAGATGAATGATAATTGATAATTTAGGGCGTATTTAACTGTGATATAAATTATGAAATATTCAAGGGATTTTCAAATAAAAATTACAAATTATGCAATCGTAAGTTACTAATGCAAAAACCAATATTTTTAATAAATATATACAAATGTGAAAAATCTTTCATAAAAATAAACGGATACTTTGTAGATTTAAGTACGATACATTATTTGTTTTTTTTTTTTTTTTTTTTTGTTTGAACTATTATTTTTATAAACTCGTGTGTTTAGTAAACATTTTTGATAAATGTTTATAATCGGATTAATATGTCATAAGAAATAATTCAAACGTGTATTCTTATGTAAGAACTTCATGGGGTGTATTTCATGTGAAAATTAAAACTAAAATTATAATATTATGGACATTTTGTATATTTTAACTATATTTATAGTAAAAAAGCATTGCTTACCTTTGTTTTCGCACCAATTCTCCATCTGAATTTTTGCTCAACACAAACGGAAGTCGATTAGAAACGACTATAAGAGGACCGTTAATATCTCTCTTTTTGTTTCCCATACTGGACAAGTCTGTAACAATTACAATTATTGAATTTAGTTTCAGAGAAATCTGATGCGAAAAACACCTTTTAAGTGACACGAGTGGAAATACAGTGACACTGCGTTGCCTTTTGAACCTTATTTTATCCTGTCAAATGGAAATTTGTTATTATTTTTTTTTTTTGCTCTTATAATCGTAATTGTGATGAAGCCATTTCAAAGATGTTTCGGTATCACTGTGTTCACAATGGAATTGAATTCTCGCACGCGCGCACAAACACACACGCGCTCGGACACAAACTCACACACACATACTCAAACACACATACTCACACTGTACATTGTAATATACGAGGAACTGCGTATTGGAAGGTATACCCTCACAGTCACCTCTTAAGTTCACTAATTAGAACGATAAATGTGTAATTAAGAAGTACACTGCGTAGTTCAGAATAGTAAAACTAATTTGGTGGTTTAGGACGTTATTATGTAAACACATAAAAATTCTTCGATTTGCGTATCATTTTTATAGAAGAATTGTCTGTTATTTGATGTAACTAGTAGTTTGTTTAAAACGTAATACGAATCATTAACGTTATAAGGAGTACATTGTACACATACGATAATGAGATGATATTGATTATTGTTCCTATATCATTATCGTTTATTACATCACAGAACTACAACTACTTATTAATTATATAATAATGTTAGTAAAAACGAATCGTGTTTCGCCGTCCGAAATATAATAAATTAGCTAAAAAAACAAAGAATTGTATTTAATAGTAAACGCTTAAAAACAATTTATTAATTCTCGCGATAAGACTTTATAGATACAGATTAATTGTAACAAAACAGATTTTTTTTACGTACAAAGAAGGCATGTGACGTCATACGATAACCTTGGTTAATGATACAGAAAGCAATAAATTATTTGAATACCTCGAGAATTACGATAGGCTTCTGTACATCTACATGTTTAGTAGAGACCAAAAGATTGAGTTAAATAGTCTTGTAATATTATCATATTTTATAAATAATACGAACAAGAAATTTACATTAGACCTTGAATGGTAATGAGTGAACAAAAATTATACAATTAAAGTAATAAAAACGTGAAAAAAGCGGCTATTAAATAAAATTTTAAAAACTTTTGGAATCATTGTATAATTTTACATTGCGTTATACGTTGTTATTACGATCTCCGTCCGAAAATATTGGTATAGAACTGAAATAACATATTTTAAATCGGCTACAAGTATAAACGTAGATTACGAAAATAAATTCTAATCATTGGTGCGTATTACATACAATATACGCGATAAACACATTAAAAACGCACGAGCATAATTTTTGCAGGTAGGCGAAAACAAAAATAAAAACGTAAATCAGTTTTTCCTAAAAACCGTAATAACGAAATAGTATTGACCGACATATTTACATACAATATTTTCGTTATCGAAATGTATAACGAGCGTAGAGTTTAAATTCGCTTCGGAGTTTCGAGCGGACACCATAAATTACCGGTGGTGTTTACGCGCGTTTCGATTCTGGTAGTCCTCATATCAGTTGTTGCGTGCGGTATGTCGGCACACGATAAATACGCGTGCAACGCGATATCCACTCGGGGACTAAACCGCGTTCACACGTCTGGTATTAGGGTTTCGAAAATTTTCAAAAAAAAAAAAAAAAAAAAAAATACCGACAAATCCGCGGACGGCGGCGAAACGAACGAAAACAATATATTTTCGAAACGATCGAACGCTTTCAAGGCGATTGTCGCTGACACCAGAAATTAGCCTGACCGCGTGTCGTCGTGGCCCGGGAAGGCGTCGGACGAGACGAAAAGTGCCGTACCGTTCCGTAGGTCGGCGGAAACGTCTGGATCGCGAGTCCGGATCGTGACCAGGGCCGGCGAGAGGGTGGGGCGGGTCGGGATAGAGCCCCGGCGCCCCGTACGTCCGAACGGGGCCCGTCGTTCTCAGCCTTTTTTTATACGAAACGTTTTTTTCGTACGATCTCATTCGCCGTGCTGAACTCGGGATACGAGTTCGATTATTTTTATTGTGCCAAAGCGTGACAACACGTCGGCCGAACGGGTGCAAGCAAAGGGGGCCCGGAACCGTAGACGTATCAGATACACGTTAATACGCCTGCGCCTGGAACCTAACCTAGCCCCGGGAGCCGCGCGCGTCTCTTACTTTGCCCGTTGGTCCGGAACATGTTCGTCTCGGCGAAGTCGTAACCGTTCACGCTCAGACGGCGGTTCGCCATGACCGGCGACGACGACGTTCCGCTGTTGTTCGTCCGACGACGGATTTTATCGCGCACGTGCCGTTTTATCGCGCGTCGTTTGCCGGTCACCGCGAATACGTGTGTGCGCGCGCGCGCGCGCGCGTTCCTCCGGTCGGCAAAACGTGTGCGCGCGCGTCCCACTCCGCCAGCACGCCGACGGTGTGTTAACACGCGCACCTGTTGTGCGCGCCTCTACCGATCATCCTCGCCGCGGCCGGACCGATTTGTTTTTCGCGCGCACCAATCGCGCGATCGCGTTCCGACTTCGCTAAGCGCCGACGGGCTCGGTCTCCTTCTCTTCCATTTACCCCCCCCCCCCCATTCCCAAATAAAAAATATCTACGTCCGTCCTCCGCGCTACGGCGTGTACGCGTCCAATCCTTTACCGAAGTGATATAAAAAAAAAAAAAAAAAGAATCGACCCCTCCCCTCCCCCCAAAAGCGGGGGGTTTAATAAATCGCGAGTCGCATCCTATATATTGTACTCGATGCTTCCGGAGACACATAACACTTTTATCACTTATACCGCGTAACGCGCAACGACTAATTCGTTTTTTTTCACGGGCGGGGGTGCCGAGGCGCTTTTTTTTCGATTCTATCAACGCGACTCCGACTAGTTCGCGCGTACATCGAGCAACGATTACCATCAGGCAGGACGACTGCATGTAGCCGCTTTCGTTATTAGTGGGCCTCGGATTTTCACGAATACAACTGTCATTGTGCAAAACAAATACAAACAAAATATGATGTTCAAAAGAAAACAATCATCTGATTAATCCGTAAAATGTCAAATTTTTTTTTATTTCGCCCAAGGGGCACGAAATGCCTAAATCAGGGTCTTCATCGAACACGTTCGACATCATAACGGTGCACGAGTGCTCACCAAACTAGTTCCGGTTCGATTCATCAAGGAACCGTCGACAATATCCGCGAATTCCACGATATTGAGTGCAACGTATACGAGTATATATATCTTATAAGCGTAGGTGTTGTATTTTAAGTGACCGTCGTACCGAAATTCCCAATCACAATTATACAATTATAATTATGTATACGTATATTTTCACGAGGCAGAAATGTACAAATACGTACATGTTTCTGAGCAATTACAAATTGTAATTAAACGACGAATATTTATTATAAAAATATATTTCGGTGCTCACTGTACGCCGCCAAGTGTTGCTGGGCAACTCTATTAGCGACAATGTTTTTCATATTCAATTAGATTTCTAAATTTAACATGTATAACAAATGTTCGAGGTTAAGACTACGATATTTTTATGGTCTCCTTTTCACTCTTTATTGTTGATTTTTTTTTTTTTTTTGTATTTCACATTTTCGAGCTTTTTTCGACGTCTGTAACGTGTTTTTACGTGAACCTGACAATTATTACTTTTAATACGCAATATATGTATATTATAATTATTATTGTATTTCTGGAAAATAACTATATACCACTTATGATGCACGCCGCACACGTGCAAGCAAAATATTACAAGTCGTGAAAATTGAACGCTCGATTAACGATGATATCACTAAAAACGTATCTACACAGAAATTGACTGCTGTTATCGACTACTATCATCATTTATAACTGTATTGTAAACGTAGAGTATATTATAACACACTATAAATACAGAGAAACACATTGTAAGCTTTCTCTATTCGATTAACGCCGAACTTTGATCTTATTACAACAACAATAGTACAATATACAGATATACACAGTTTGCTGTATAATTAATGTAAAACACTTGTGTCTTGCTATTCAAGGGCGCCCATAGGAAAATTCTCAAAGGGGGAACAATATTTTAATTTATCAATCTATTCATAAATAGGAATGACCCATGGTATAGGAAGGCCCTTACAATTTAACATTATACTATTACATTATATATATATCAAACTGGAAGACTATAAAATAATAATTATTTAACCAATTTACCATAAAAGTAATTTATTGAAATTTTTATTTAATTAATAATATAAATTGGACACTTAAAACATTAGTTATATTTATTGAAATATTAATTTACAAATATTATATAAATATTATGGTGGTGTACACACACACACACACATACATACCGTATTTCTGGAAATACACAATATTTTAAGAATTGATAATTATCCATAGAATAGAAACGAAAAAGCGTATTGTTATTTATAGCTGATAACCTTATTTTCCAAACTAAATTAATAGATTTTTCATAAACAAATTATAGATTTTCATATATATAAAATTAAATTTTTAAATTCTATTTAAATAAATATATTCTTATCAGTTTCCCAAAATTTTTGACATTTTCCAGAGGAGGGACATGTCCCTCCCTTACCCACCTCCCCATATAAGCACCCTTGGTGGTATTTCTGCTATTATCGTGATATAATAATCTATAGTAATTAAATTTTATTATAATCACGTCAACTTATGTATTCAAAGGAAAACTATTAGAAATCTCATAGTGATTAATTGACTGTATATATGTTAATGATCGTATTAATTTTATTTATTTGATTTGGCAAAACATTTACTTCCTACTGACTATAGTATCAGATTGGATAATTTTTTTCGGGTACTTGGGTTTAAACACGAATATCAAATATTGTTATGCATTTATCTCTTGTAAAATTATAAACCAATAACAATTAATTTCTGCTTTGCATATTATTATTTTTTATAGATATCAAATCGTATAGTGTTATAGACAACAGCTGAAACAACATTGTATACTTTGTTAACGGTTTTAAATACGAATGTGTGTTTATTTACGTAACGTCGTAAAATTATACGAAATATAAATTAATATTTCAGTTAAAATTAACAGACCATACGAATTAGTCACTATAGTGATTTGTTGGTGGGTACTTACGTAGTATTTATCGTTTTGTTAACTTTACATTATTTACACACTTCAAAAACATGTATTGTGAAATCCTTTCGATTTCCTATTGAGGTATATTATAGTTTTTCGTCAGAATTCGAATGATTTAAAGAATTTATTAAACACATAAAGTCAACAATTCAGAAAAACCGGTTTATAACGCAGTATTTAAATTCAGAATTTTTTCTATAATATAAAAATTAATAAAAACACATACACTAGCTTGCTTGTTCGTTAACTCTTCTTCAGAAAATTAAAATTATGTGAGCATACGTAAAGATTTATGGATAAATCGTCAAAAAATTATGTATTTTAGCTATTATAGAATTTTGAATCTAAACAGTGGGCAATCATTTTATCATAATTTAATTGTATTTGTATAAATTAAAAAAAAAATATAAATATATAATATGTTTGTTCTGTTAAAAACATCGATTATCTGTTTATATATGTAATATTACAATGTACAACACAAGAGCCGCACGTTTCAAACCGGTAGCTATTATATTTTAATAAATAACATATTGCTGTGATAATGGTCGAGAACGTAAAGAAACATTGTGTTAATGATGTCATTATAAAAGTAGATAAATGCGATGTTAATAGTTTAAAATAAGAGTAAAACCCCATTTAATATGTGCTCATTACTTATAATAAGGTCAAAACGTAAATCACCGGTCAAATTTCGAACCGCAGTTGTTCAAACAACAAACACTTCGTTCACCAATCAACATTTAAACGAGTTGAAAAAAAAAAAATAAAATACGTTTACGCTGATTAAAATATGCATCGGACGCATAAAGGTTATAGTAGTCCTTGACCGAGGTGCGCACGTAATATGTACTGATACAACGGGTAGGTATATTATTTGAAGAAAACATGGTATCAACAATGATCGTACTGCGTTAAATATTCTGGTCTCGCCGTGTTTTCTAGACGCGTTATTAACATTAAATACGTTTTTATAAACGCGTAGACTTGAACAACTGATAACCGTGAAACGTGGATGTTGACAATTACTTTGTTTATGAGCTTAGATGTTGTTGTCTGAGGTGATACGCCCTCGAGATCGCGAATAACAATTCTCACAAACAGTCCCAAGGTCTTCCGCCGATTTTACAGCTGATCGTTGCGAATGTCAAGTGAGTCAATAACAACGTAATCGTATTACGTGTTTATCAGTACTTTTTATGCGCTCTCAATACGCGCACGGTTGGGGAAGAACAAACAAAAGCAACGCGCAACCGAACCGCATCGAACAACGGGAACACGAGCGTTGCACAGGACCGGGATACGCGAATACGCGTTGATCGGAAATCAGCCCGGCGTATAAATATAAAAATAAAACAATAGACAGTGTTGGTAAAAAAAAATAAAACCTATCAATCTATATCGTACCGGTGCGTGAGACTGGTAGCGAACGATTACGTGTTTGTGTGTGTGTGTGTGTGTGTGGGGGGGGGTGCGGGGGGGGGCAGGTGGTCTTCTATATGTGTACACTGACGTTTGATGACGTTTTGTTCGAGGCGGATTCTAGCGACAATGTTGCCGTACACGAGTGTAACGCACCATAATCGAACGACTCGTCGTAGGCGATCGCGAGAACGTACGAATTCGCGACGACCTACGCGGAATCGGCGTAACATGAATGCACGGCCGACGTAAATTCACCGATCCCTTGGGGAAGCGTGTTCTCTTGAACGCGCGCAACAGGTGTGCTTGCACGAATATAAGAGGGGGGGGGCATGGG